CAGAGTCTGCATACTTAATCATTATGCTATAATGCCTCACTGTACCCAACCCTATCTGAACTGAAAAGCCAATTCTATGACTCATGGCACTATCATCTTGGGATGGACAGGGTCCAGAGACCTTCTATTTGTGCCACCTGTCCTCAATTTCATCATTTGTAAAATGAGATTAATTGCAGCTTACCTACCTCATAGAGTTCCTATAAGGAACATGAGATGAGAATACACGTGAAACATTTAAACAGTGACTGGCAAATAATAATTACTCAATAAACAGTAGTTATTGTCACTCTGTGGGATACAAAAGTGCAGCTGGCAAATATAATACAGATGGAAGAGATCTGTTTTCTTTCATCTTTGTCCTTTAAGTGAAGAGAAGAGATGTCAAGGGGGGGGGGGAAATAAGGAAGCTTTCTTGCTTTGACCCATTACAAAGCTGTTAACTCTGCCTGGAAGGCTACTCACCATTGTCCCAACTCCTATGGAACACCACCGAGCCCAAATACCACCTTTTCCATGAAGTCTTTCCAGATAAAGGGCTCCTTCTTTCACCGCCAAATTTCCACAGCATTTAAAATCTATACCTCATGTTCTGCCCCATGTACCTGCTCAAGCCCTCTAATGTACTGAGCTCACTGAAGGTAGGCCCCAATGTTTATCCTCCTATGATCTGTTTCCTCTTCTCGACCCTAGAGAGAAATAGAATCCCTCAGAGAAAGCTGAGAACCCTGTGGAGGCCCTAGACTTATAAAGGCTGAGAAGCCAACCAGGATGGGGTGAGGCAGATCACCAAGAATAGGACCTAAGGCAGCTCAGAATCAAGAATGAGCACAAAGAAAAGGGCAGTAGAAGGAGCAAGACACTACTTCTACAAGGAGAGGCAATGAGGGCTTGGTAGAAAGAGAAGACAGGAGGGAGTGGGGAAGGTATACAGAACCTGAATGGGGAGTGAGATCTGAAAAACTTAGAGATTCCAGCCAAATGCAGAAGGAAGAGCTGCCTATTCTCTTAGCCAACTGAGAATGGGTGCCCAAGTTGCCCATTCTCTAATAACTCTCAAAAACTTTCAGAAGACAGATCCCACTTTGTGGGATTCAGAGACAAATAAAACACATCCCGGTACTTTCCAAACTTGCAGTCCAGTGAAGGTGAGTGGACAAGTACATGAAAACTACAAGGGAGAAGGTGAGTGGTGCTCTAAGAAATAAAAGGGAGGATTCTGGACGGTAAGATAAGGAGAATGAAAAGACCTAAAGACACCTTAAAAAGAGGGCGCCTATGGTGAGGAATAGATGAAGATTAGAGATGGACATATGTATTCAAGGAGATGGCAATGTATTTTATTTTATTTTTAAAAGATTTTATTTATTCATTCAAGAGAGACACACAGAGAGAAGCAGAGACACAGGCAGAAAGAGAAGCAGGCTCCCTGCGGGGAGCCCGATGTGGGACTGGATCCCTGGATCCGGGGATCACGACCTGTGCCCAAGGCAGACACTCAACCTTGGAGCCACCCAGGCATCCCAGAGATGGCAATTTAAAGAGGCACCAAAGGCTGGCGTATGGTGTGGAGGGGAAGCCAGAAGGTGAGAGAGCTGAGGAAGATCTGAAAGGAAACTATTCAAAGGTAGAATATGAAGTCACTGCTCAGAGGGTGGGGTTACCTTTGAGAAAAGCCAGAATTTTTACAAGGAGGGGAAGGAGACTTTCTGGAGGGTGGATATTTCACAAAGGGGACTCTTAGGAAAATGGGGGTCGGCAGGAATTCAAAGGCATACTTTGAAGCATCTCTCAGGGGGCTTTCTGTGGCAAAAGGGAAATCCCCTCAGGGAGCAATGGTTCTCAAACTTGAACAATTCATCAGAATCACAAGGAGGGTCCCTAAAAACAGACTGCTGGGTCCTACTCTCAGGTCTTCTGATTCAGTAGGTCTGGGCTGGATCCGAGAACTTGCATTTCTAACAAGTTTCCAGGTATGTTGATGCTCCTGGTCCAAGGACCATGCTTTGAGAACCACCGCCATAGGGTAAGGGATTATTTAGTGAGGAGGCTCTCAAATGGGAAAAAGCTGCTAAAAGGAAAACGGAGGAAGTCCTTAAGAAATCTCTAAGGAGGGCATTAAGGGTCTCTCAATCTCCAAAGGAGGAAGAGTCTGAGGATGAAACCTATGAAAAATGGCCTGAGAGATCTCTGAGAGGTGAGATTTCAAGGGATGAGGCTGTCTGTTGAGGATCTTTTTATTAAAAGGCAACAGTGGAGGCTTTTGGGTAGGAAAGGGAAGCATGGAAGATCCTGGGGGCCTCTGAAGGGACAATGCGGGTAAGGAGGCTCAGAACTGAGAAGATCTCTAAGTTGATTTCAAAGGAAAGAAAATGGAGGTGGTGAGAGGATGTAAATAGGGACCCTAAAAGGGGTAAATCTGATAGGGTCCTGAATGGATGTAGATGTCACAGGCAGGAATGAGGGAATGTTCTGAAGGAATCTCAGAAAGTGCTGGGGTTAGTTAGGTTGTTGATGCAGGACAATTTTGAAGGAAATTCTCTAAAAGGTGTCTGGGGGAGATGCGGTCTCCTGAGAGAGAGCTTGGATGTAACGGAGCAGGATGGCAGAGGTCCTTTGAGAAGAAACCTCTGAGTAAAGTTTTCAAAAGGTTATTGTATGGGAAAGGAGGGTCTTCCAAGTGGAATGTGGGAATGTCAGGGAAGAAGGTTTTTCAGAAAGAATTCTGGGACTTTTTAATAGCAGGAACTCAGTTATTGTGAGCAAAGACTGTATGAGCAGGGGGTTCTAGAGGACTTGAGGGAACCTGTGAGGAAGAGTACAGAAATTTCTTGTACAAGTGTCTTAGGAAGGCAGGAGTCTCCGGGCAACGATTCAATGGGTTCTGGGGGGTGTTGGATGGGTCTCTGAGATTTCAAGGGCTTATCCCAGGAGGGCTTGAGGGGTTGCTGAGGTCTCTGAGAAGATGTGAGGAGCTCTTTGGAAAAGCTGCATCTCACAGAGGTCATGAAGAGGATCTTAAGGTTTAAGGTATTTCGAAACTTCAACTAAAAGTCAGTCTAGAAAGGGGGATTTTCAAAGGTATCTAAAGAGGATTCTGGAAAATATCAAAAACTACAGGGGGCCTTTTTGGAATCCTGAAAGAATCTGTGGAACATGTGTAGGTTACTAGGAAAGAGTTGAGATATATAACAGGGGTTGTGGAAAAGGCTTTCGGTATATTGGATAAGAGTTCTCCAGAGATTTCAACGAATCTTTGGATATTTGGGATAAGTGAAGGTGGTGTTGGGGAAGATTTTTGGGGTGAGGGTGATCTCTAGGGCATTTCAGGCTGGTGAGACTTGGGGAACCTGAAGTCTTTGAGAAGGATCTGTAGAAGGTTCCTAAGGGATGACTCTGTGAAGGGGAAGTGTGTATGGAGATGGCTGGTGCGTTGGGGGCGGGGGTCCTCTAGGTGAATTTTGGAGATGTGAGGACATTTCAGAGAGTCTCTGAGAAGACTTTCAGGGCATACCAGGGATATTCCAAAGGACATGGTGGTGGGGAGGGGCTCAAGGATTTGGGGGCCATGAGTGGATCTCCCAGGCGATTTCTGGTATAGAGGTAGGTGAGAGAGAAAATTCCTGGGACCTATGAGAAAGAAGACGCGGAGAGATTGTGGGGATATGCGAAATAGATCTCTGGGGGAGATTTCTGGAATGTGCAGGGTCTGGAGGGGATCTCAGGGAGACTGCAGGAGATTTTTAGGGCTTACGAGGGAAGCTCCGGGAGGAGATATGACACACATTGTTGGAATAGATGAGGAGTGGCCTCCGGGGAATATTTCTGGACGGAGGAGGAGGATGGGGGATCTGGGGCCAGAGGAGGGGTTCGCTGAGGAAGATTTCCAGTGACCTAAGCCGGCGTCTGGACAAGATTGTGGGAACGCAAGGGGGGGGGGTCTCTCGGAAAGATTTCGAACCGCAGGAGGGGTGGGGGTTTTCAGGGGGCTCTAGGGCGGGTTTTGGGGGGCTGCGGGAACGCCCTCCAGGGAGATGTCTGAGGCAGAGCTGCGCGGGGGAGGGAGGGGTCACAGGGAAGGTCCCCCGGTCCGGCCCCTCGCGGTCCCCAGGGTGTGAGGGTTTCGGAGGGAAGCTTCCCAGGCGGCCTGGGCGGGCGACTCGGGGGTCGGGGGTGGGGGATTCTCCTGAGGGCCGGGACCCCCAAGGCCCGCGCTCGCCGCGACTCGCGGCTCGGGGTCCCTGAGGGGGCGGGGCCGCCCGCGCGGCCTGGGGCGCCCTGAGGTGAGCCCCGCGCGCCCCGACCCGCCGCCGCCCCGCCGCCGCCGCCCGGCCCTGCCCGCGACTCACCGCCTCGGCCTCCGCCGCCGCCGCCGCCGCCGCCGCTCGGGCCTCCTCAGGCCCCCGCCGCCGCCGCCGTCGCCCCCTCTCCGGCCCGCGAGCTCCCCTCCCTCCTCCCGCACCGACCACCGCCGCCGCCGCCGCCGCCGCCGCCGCCGTCGCGCTGCGTCACCGCGCCGTGCGTCACCGCCCCTGGCCCCGCCCCGCCGGGGCCGCCGCGCGCCGGCATTAGCTCACGCCGCGGTGACGAACGGCGCGCCTGCCAACGGGCGGCGAGGGCAGCCCGAAGGGCGGGAGGTGTGCGCGGAGAAAGGCGGGGTCCAGGCGGAGAGGGGAGCGCGGAGGGTAGAGCGAGGCCCAAGAGGCCCGCCCCCTGCGCGGTAGGATTGGTTGGCCGCGGGGCTGACAGGCAGTGGCCGGCGGGCGGGGAGGGGGCGGGGCGCGCGCGGCGTTGCCACGGGCAACGGGCGCGGCGGAGCCGGGGATTGGTCCTCCCGGCCCGCAGGGGGCAGTCTCGGGCGCGTCTACCTCAGCGGCCGGGAGCTAGGTCACAATTCCTGAATCTGCTGTTCAAGGCCGGCCTCCCCGCCCCTCTTGGACGCCCCGCCTAAGGCCTGGGCGCCGCCGGGCCCCGTGGCCAGGTGAGGGGTTGGCACGCAGGCTTCTGGAGTCGCAGCTTTACCACCGCAGCCCTCCCTGAGCCTGTTGCTTCGTCTCTCAAGTGGGAATGGGACTGAGACGATGCCTAGAAAGCGCTTGGCGCAATGGAGGCCGTCCACAAATGGGAGTTGTTGCTTTGACTATTGTAGTCTGTTCATGCCACAAACTACCCTGGCTCTGGTGACTAAGCGGAGCCGGGGCCCTCACGCAGAAGGTGACATAGACATGACCTGTTAGAGGAACTCAAAGAAGAAGCGATCGGGGTGGACGGAGTGTATAGAGTTCCAGGCCACGAGTGGTGGGAGATGAGCTGTGGCCAGATGTTTGGCCACTTGAGGGAGTTTGGGCTTGTCTTGAGGACACTAGGGAGCCAGGGAGGGGCTTCAAGCCAGGGAGAGTCATGGTGAGTTGGGGATTTGGAAAGATGGCTCTGGCTTTCCTATGGAGCAGAGATTGGAGGGAGTAAAACTGGGGGCCTTCAGTTCGGGAAGGCAGTTGGGGTGGGACAGGGAGGAGGGAGGACAAGAGGGACTCCCAGGAGGCCGAGTGAACCTGCCCTGGGACTGGCTGGCTGCAGAGCGGGCAGAGAGGGTGAAATCCTAAACAAGGCCCCTGGCTGGGGGCTTGGGGGTGCCTCCCTGAAGAGGAGACCCAGAGGAGAAGCAGGTTTGTTTGGAAGATGCTGAGTCCCCATGTGGGCCACCCAGCAGCGGGGGCCAGGAGGCTGCGCAGTGCTGGGTCTGGGGTTTAAGAGAGAAATTGGAGCTGGAAACCAAGATTTGAGGATCGTCAAAGATGGTCATTGGAGCTGTGGGTGTTAGTGAGCTAACCTGAGGAAGACATGAAGGATGAATGGAGACGAGGACTCAACAGAACCCTAAGAAAGGGGGACCTCTAAAATATGAGCAAAGGAATCGACAGTCTCTCCAAGATTGAGAAGGGGCAGCCAGTCAGGAAGATGCACTTCAAGCCAGGGTGGGTGGGCGATATCACAAACCCCATCCACTAGCCCCAACACCTAAGCAAAAGCTTTCACAGCATGCAGAGTAGTTGTGCTCGAGAGATCCCGGTTCGTTTATTCACTCAAGGATACTCAAGTACCTGATACATGTCAGGTGCCATTCAAGGTTCTAGAAATTCGATAACGGAACAAAGCTTACATTCATACCTGAAGCTTACATTCTGGTTGAGGGGACAAAATAAATAAAAAAAAATACGATGTGACTTGCTGATAAGTACTATGGGGATAAATAAAGCAAGCTGAGAGGGTGGAGTGATGGGGTCAGCACTATTTTAGGTGAGGAAAGGCATCTTGGATCAGGTGAGATTTGAACAGAAATCTGAAGAAATGAAGGGGTAAACCACAGGGAAAGAGGGTTCCAGAAAGAGGGACCAGCAAGTGCAAAGGTCCAGGGGGAGGATTATTCACAGAACCACAAAGAGGATAACATGGCTGGGAAGGAGAGGGCAGTAGAAGACAAGGTCCAAATGGAAATGGAGGATGGGTGTTGGCAGATAATGGCCACTGTAAGGACTCTAGCTTTTACCCAAATAACGTACCTGGAAGCCTTAGGAGGGTTTTGAGAGAGGAGGTGTATTGTCTTCCTCTGGCAGTCTTATGAAGAACAGAGTGTGGGATGGGGAGCAGGGGGACAGTGAGGAGGTTGCTGGGAGAGTTCAGGGGAGATGAAGGTGGATGGAACCGGGCTATGGGCCATGGGGGGGGGGGAGTGGGCAGGTTCTGGTTACATTTCCAAGTTCCGAACTGACAAATTCTGATGTACGAGGAGAGGAATGAGATAGGTTAAGGATGACAGACATCCAGGTGGAGATGTCAGGTTGGCAGCTGGATATAGGAGTCCAGAGTTTGGGAAGAGGGCCAGGCTGGAAAAAGAATTAGGATATCCCCTTTGGAAGCCAAGAAACTGGATGAGATCAGGAGGAGAGGATGGTAGGTGAAAAAGAAGGAGACGAAGGACTGAACCCTGGGACACCCCACCGTAGAAAGAAAGAATCAGCAAGAGAGGCCAAAAAGGAATGGCTAGAACATTCGGAGGAAAACCAGGCCACGGTGTTGTCCTGAAAACCAAGTGAAGAAAGTATTTCTTCAGGGCCCAGAGAGTGTTGGACGGTGTCACACACAGCTGACAGGGCACGGCTGATGAAGACTGAGAATTGACCCTTAGGTCCAACACCAGAGAGGTCATCGGTGGCCCCTGCAAGGGTATGTCAGGGGATGGGAACAGGAGTGACAATCTGCTGGGAGAGAGCTGAAGAGGAAATCAGGAGGAGACCTTGGAGGCAGCAAGAGTGGACAATTCTTTCGAGAAGTTTTGCTGAAAAGGGAAGGAAATGAATGGGCAGTGCTGGACAGAGTTCTTAGTTTTTAAGAAGGAAGACACCCCCGCGTGCAGGCTGAGAGGAAAGATCTAGTAGGGATGGGAACACTGATGATGCAGGGAGAGGGAGAATAGCTCCAGTGACGCCCATCAGTAGGTGGGACGGGGTGGGACGGTGCCCAGGGAGGGGGTTCAGGAAGTCTTGATCACTGCCACCCACGGAGCCAGCACAGTGGGCCACCCATTATGGGGCTGGGCCCTGTGAAGAGTCTCTTGTTGGCTTATATTTTCTCACTGAAGTTCATGGAGTCTTCCCGTAAATTACTTCCCTTTTATTTCTCCTTTATATGACAGGATGTTGTGTTGATTTGGGCGGGGGGGGTGGAATTTGTGTCTAAGAAGGTTACGTTATCTAGGAATTTCATTTCATGATTGGAAAGGGAGCAACACAAAGGCACTTAATAAAAAAGAGGGTACTGGTCTGACAGAATTGGACACCATCATTGTAGAGCCCATTACTAGGCCCCTGGGGTTGAATCAGTCACCATTACCTGGGCACTGTGGAATCCAGGTGGCGGTTTGCCTACCAAACATCCCTAAGCTCCCCTTTTCTACTCTGGAATTAAAATATTCCAGAGGGGGACAATCCAGGAAAGCTTCCTGGAGGAGGGGAGGAGCTAAAGAGCTCATTGTTACCTACTATGTATTGAGCATGTCCACCATGCTAGGAGGTGTGTGAAGCTCTTTAATCCTCACAAGGATCCTAAATCAGAGGGGTGAGGTTACTTAGCTGGGGTCACACAGCAAGGCGGCATTCGAACCCCAGTCCGAGTGATTGCAAAGCTGGGAGGTCCTGGCAGATGAGGGGAAGGAAGGAAGGGGAGGAGCCCTCTGAGACAGTTGTCCCAGAATGGGCATAAACAGGATGTGGTGTTGGATGAAACCTTTCCCCTGCCCCACACCCCGCCCCCTGAAGCCCTGGTCCCCACCTCTAGAAGACAGCGGAACTGAAAAAGAAGAGGCCTGTGGACTGAAAAATCATGGTCAGGGGGCCAGGGGTTGTATGGGAAGGGCTGGGGGCTGGGGCGGGGCTGGGCCTGGGTCTGGGAGAGTGCGGGGGTGAAGGTCAGGCTGTGGGATGGTCAGGGGCTGGGAGGGTGACCCCAACTACGGCAAAGGACCTGGCTGGGGGAAGAGAGATGCTGGTTCCGGGTTTAGCGCCAGAGCAAGCAAATCCCCAGGGTCTCCTCGAGTGCTCCCCAAGGGCACCTGCCTAGAGGGCTGGAACCCAGCCTCTACTGGGCAGCCCCAACTGGGGCGTGTGCGCTGGTAAGGGGCGGCACCTGCCCCAAGGAAAGGTGCCGCCTGATGTCCCCAGAGGTGTCCCGTGAGCTGTCAGGGCCCACCTCTTTAGTAGTAGATGGAGAAACTGAGGTTTGGGGAAGGGGCGGGGGCCGAGAGCAGGCCAGCTCAGCTCTTCCTGGGCTTCTCTGGCAGTCCGATTCCCTGGTGGTGTGCGAGGTGGACCCAGAGCTAAAGGAAAAGCTGAGAAAATTTCGCTTCAGAAAAGAGACGGACAATGCGGCCATAATAAGTGAGTGTCATCTCCTCCCCTGGAAGGATGGCAGAGAGGGTGGGGACAAGGAAGTCTGGGCTAGTGTCACCAGTGGATGGGAGGGGCGTCTAACCCCTGTGTGCCATCTGTTTCCAGTGAAGGTGGATAAAGACCGGCAGATGGTGGTGCTCGAGGAAGAATTTCAGGTGAGGGTCTGGGATGGACGGGACCTCCAAGAAGTGCAGGGTGGGCCTGGGAGAACCAGAGGGCTGGACGATGCCAGGAGCCTGGCATTGGGGGCCAGAAAGGCCTGGAGGGCAGATCCCAGCTCAGCTGTGACTCTAGGCAAGAGACACCATCTGCATGGGTCTCTGTTTCCTCATCTTTGAAACGAGGGTACTGGAACTTACCCCTTTGGGTTGACTATGGATTCAATGCTTTAATTCTTGTAATGGGTTGAGAAGAGGGCCTGGCATCTAGAATATGCTTGATGAGATGATGACAGTGATGACAACGACGATATTTTATTGGCACCAAAATGAAAGTTTCCTGATAAGTCAAAAGCCTAGCAGGAATCCTTCCTAAAAGGGTAGACCTCACCTTTTCTCACCTTGATGTCTTTATCAGTCCCACGGGGATAATAAGAGTTACTTTATAATGTTGTAAGGATTGAGGTGGGGGTGGGGGTGGCCCATGGAGGCTGAGGCTGGGGATGTTTGACAGGCAAGGGGGATTGGCTAGGAGCTGGGCTCTCTCAGGTCCTCCGAAAGGCAGTGCAGCAAAATGGTTATGATTTGAATCCAGATTCAAATCTGAATGGTGCTGCTCACTATCTGCCACCTTGGCCAAGCATCTTAACAAGTCTGGGCCTCGGTTTGTTCACCTGTAAAGGGGGGGCGGATAAGAATAGAAGCTACCGCACAGAATTGTGGGAGAAGTCAATGAGTTGATCTATGGGTGTTTCTTGAACCAGTGCCTCAGCACATAGTTTGTGCTGACTGAATGACAGTCTTTTCTTTTTCTTCCCCCCCCCCCCCAGAACATTTCTCCAGAGGAACTAAAAACAGAGTTGCCAGAGAGACAGCCCAGGTACCCTGGGGGAAGGAAGGGGGAGGGTCAGGCATGGGAGAGGGGGTGGTGGCGAAGGAACAGACTGAGGGACCCTTCAGATTCCAGCCTTAATCACTGGCTCTGATCTGGGATTGAGGCCATGAATTCACTCCCTAGGACTTTTTGTTTGTATACTAATATTGCAGAATTTTTTTTTTACATTTTATTTATTTATTCATGAGAGACACAGAGAGAGACAGAGACATGGGCAGAGGGAGAAACCTATGTCTCCTTCTGCCTCCCTCTGCCTCCCTATAGGGAACCTGGTATGGGACTCGATCCCAGGACTCTGGGATCACAATCTGAGCCAAAGGCAGACGCTCAACCACTGAGCCACCCAGGCGTCCCTTTATTGCAGAATTTTACACTGATAGTCACATGTGATATTAGACCTTGCTTTTTTTCCCTTTTTTTTTTGTACAAACTGTGTTGGGTTTTGTTCTCATGATTGCACTTCCTTCATTAAACAAAAAATGAAATTTTCCTCGTTTCAATGCTTGAGAATACTCTGGGTAGCAGAGGAGTCACTTGACCTTTAACGATTGGGGAGAATTCTGTGTGAAGCCACCTAAGTCTGGTGCTTTCTGTAGGAGGAGCTCTTTGACACTCCTATGAAATCTAGTCTGTGTAGATTTTTCATCTCCACTGGGGTGAATTTTGGGCTCCCCAGGATTTTGACCCTCACTCTCAGGCTCTAGATCTCAGCTGGGATCAGCTCCCCAGCTGTCTGACAAGTGTGGTCACACTGGGCCCCGTACACAGAAGGGAGTCTCGAACACAGGGCTTACTGCTCTGCAGCTGCCTGCCATCTGGATTTTTAAAAAAATAGTTTTATCTTTGAATTTGTGTTTTGTGTCAAGTCTGATGGGATAGTGGAGCCTGTGCTGGGGACTTGGAGCCTCCTTCAGCTCCCACGTGGTCCCTCCTTCAGAAGGACAAGTAGCAAATTTAGTAAGACCACGACCAGTCTGGAGAGAGACTGCAGAGGAAAGGGAACAGCTCTTCTCTTGCCTTTTGAACACGAGGCCCCACATTTTCATTTATTTATTTATTTATTTATTTATTTATTTATTTATTTATTTATTTATTTATTTATTTATTTATGATAGTCACAGAGAGAGAGACAGAAAGAGAGGCAGAGATACAGGCAGAGGGAGAAGCAGGCTCCATGCACCGGGAGCCTGACGTGGGATTCGATCCCGGGTCTCCAGGATCGCGCCCTGGGCCAAAGGCAGGCGCCAAACCGCTGCGCCACCCAGGGATCCCCCCCACATTTTCATTTTGCACTGGGCTTGGCAAATTGTGGAGCCGGCTCTGGTCTCAGGCCAGAGGTCTAGAGCTCTGGACATTACAGCATGGTGCTTGAGCCCTTACAGTCTGGCACTGAATTCCCTGGGCTAAAATCTTCCCTCTATCCACAGAACCTTGGCTAAGTGACTCTGGGCCTCTGTTTTCCCATCTGTAGTATGGGGTAATAAGGGCACTTATGTCAGAGGGGTTATTATGAATCAAACAAGCACCTGTGATTATTATTTTTCATCATTTTGAGGCCAGTATCCTGGGTTTCATTTGTTAACCCTAGCTTCTTTGACTCAGGCAAGATTTCAAGATTGTGAACTCAGGTAATGGGTATTGGGCCTCGAGCTCCAGGCAAAAGTACTGAATTTGAATTCCCTTTCACTGGTGCAGGTTCGTGGTTTACAGCTACAAGTACGTGCATGAGGATGGCCGAGTGTCCTACCCTCTATGCTTTATCTTCTCCAGTCCTGTGGGTGAGGCACAGCTCTCTACCTGTCCCCGCAAGAGGGTCTGAGAGTCTGTGCGTGGGGTGTGTGAGAACATATACGTGGGTGCAGGTGTGTGTGACTGGTCACTGTGTGAGTGTATGGCACATGGTGTGTGTGTGTGTGGTGTGAGTGCTGGGAGGGTAGTGGGGTGGAGGCAGGGGTTCAGATTCCTTAAGAGCCCACAGGTCCTCCTTAGTCCCAAGGTGTATAAGCAAGTTAACCCCTCCCTTTTACTTAGAATCTAACTCCTGTGTGGCCTCTCAGCCATCTCCAGGGACCCTCAGAATAAGCCCCCCAAACAAAGCCCCCAGAATCTGGGTATAGCTTCAAGAGAACACCTTAGAACAACTCCCGGGATCCTCGGAAAACTTAAAGGCCTGCATGACATTACTAGGGCCTTAGTGATAACCAGGGTCCCCCAATTATGCTCTTTTCTCTTTTCCACACAGGTTGCAAGCCTGAACAGCAGATGATGTATGCAGGGAGTAAGAACAGACTGGTGCAGACTGCAGAGCTCACAAAGGTCTGGGCCTGGGGCTGAGGCTCCCCAGTGCTAGGGACGAGGAGGGGGAAAGTCTGGGCTTTTGGGTCTGAAGGAGGATAGGCTGAGGGTCTGGGCACCCGTTCTGAGGGAAGGAGGGAGCTAGAGCTCACTCCTTCAGTTCCTGAGTGGGTCTTAATGCAAAGGCCTCTCCTTGCCCAGGTGTTTGAAATCCGCACCACGGAAGACCTCACCGAGGCCTGGCTCCAAGAGAAGTTGTCCTTCTTTCGTTGACCTCTGGGCTGGGGAACGGAATTCCTGATGTCGGAGTCCCTGAAGAAACTGGGGACTGGGACCCCAAGAACTGGAACTCTGAGACCCTAAGGAAATTAAAATGCAGGAACACTCTCATCTCTGGTTCTGTATCTAGTTGTGAGCGCTAGCCGGCAGTCCCTGCAGTACCGGCCTTCGGCCAGCAGAGGGCAGGCAGACCAAATGGATGCCCGCTGAGTCCCAGGAGGAAAGGGGGGGGGGAATACCTGTTTCTCGGAAAGAAGGGGAGGGGCCTGTAGGGTTTCCTGGGGAGGAGTTGGTGGGAGGTGGGGGAGGGGGCTGGGTTTCCTGGAGGAATTGGGGAATATTGAGCCCCGGAGGGGGCCACTCCGAGGGGAATAAAGACACCTGGGTTCCTGAGAGTGAAGGAGACAGAGCACCTGTTTCCCCACCTCCCCACTCCCCACCCCAGCTCTAGGAACTAGCAGGCGTTAGCTGGCACTGAAAACTGTTCTCAGTGAGCCTCCAGGTAGGAAGAATTTGAAGGGTCAAACATAATTGCATAAGGGAGTTGCTGGGGTGGGTGGTTTGTGTGGTTAGGGAGGACTGAGGGCCCAAGGCTGGGGAAGGTGAGAGTATCCTGGGCTCTCAGTGGACCCCTGAGGGGTATGAGGTTGTAGGGCAGGAAAGGGACACCCTGCCCGCCCCACCCCAGAGATTCTTCTTTCTTCTGGCATCTCTGGGCTTTTGACTCTCTCAGGTTCTCTATCTTGTGTCTGAGGGACATTTATTGAGCACTCACAGTGTACCAGACAGAGAATTCTGAGATGGGCAGGTCTTCACAGAGATAAATCACTCTTTCTCTGAGCTTCTCCTCCCGGGTCTCTGTTCCTCTCTCTGTCCCCAGATCCAAGGACCTGGGAGCTCCCCCCTCCACCCCTTTTCAGGTTCCCTGTTGAGAGGTGTTCGTTGCCATGGTAACAATGACACAATGACCTTGGGCCTGGGCTGCCCCTCCCCCAGCCCTGTCATTCCTGAGGGAGGGTCCACGAGCCCAGCTCCAACCCCTCCCCAGCTCTCCTGGCCAGAACAAACCATCCACTCTACCCATCCTTTGCCCCCTTGCCCCATGCCAGGATAAGCCCTTTGCAGAGAGAGATCGCGCGCACACACAAGCCCCCCCACTCCGGTATTTGTGGGGCGCGGGATTTGAGCTCCTCTCTGACACCTGTCCTGGTGCCCTCCCCACCTCATCTCTGCCATGCACATCTCTACTCCTCCCTCTGATCACAGCCTCAGTCTCTGATGGCGAGGGGTGGAAGAAGAGGGAGGCTGGGGATAGGAGGGGTCGTTCAATTAAGAGGTCAAGCAACCGCAGGCCTGCAGAGCGCAGAGGCCAAAGGACTTGTCCAAGGTCATGCACTTACATGATCAGATTAATACTAATAGTTAACTCTGTGATTAAGGGCTTCCTAGGTGGCAGGCATTTCCACAAGCACTTCACAAGTGTTAACTCATCTAATCCTTACAGTTACCCCATGAGGATCGTTATCATTATCCCCAACTTACAGATGAGCAAACTGAGCCACAGAAGCCATTGGTGGCCTGAAGCCCCCACTGCTAGTGGTTTGCACAGTTAGAACTTTAACTCCAGGCTAATGTGGTGGTAATGGCTACTCTTATCAGGCAGGGGATTTAGGGGACTCATCCCCTCACCTTCGTCCTCCTCCCCTCTCCCTCTCCTCCCCACGTAGTTGAACTTCTGTCAGCCTCCAGGCTCATGATTGCAAACAGTCCAATCAGAAAGAGGCATGTACCAGGAGTCGCCCAATCAGGAGCAGGGAGTTTGGAAAGCAAGGACCAATCAGCGAGGGGGGCTCTCGGGACTGCCCAATGCAGAGTAGGTTCGGCTAGAGGGATTGCCGAGGGACCAATCAGAGAGGCCAGAGCAAATACAGTATCCAATGGAGAGCCGGCACAGTGGGGGCGTGGCTCCAGGGTTGGGGCCCCTCCTCCAAAGGGCCCCGAGCAAACTAGGGACCACCTCCTCTCTTTCCACAAACCTTCTTCACCTCGGCTTCGGCTTCGACAGATCCAGCCTGTCTAATTTTTGAATCCAGGCTCTAGGCTTTCCCTGGGGCGCTTCTCCCTGCTAACCTTCAAGGAAAGTAGGGTTTACGTTGGAGAGGAAGAATCGGGATTTAGGGCGGAACTGAGAAAGGAGGATCTAAACTAGGCTAGAGGGGCCAGTGCCTAGACGGAAGGCTGGATGCCTTGGGGGTGGAGAAGTGCTGGGGCGAAGGGAGTAGGAACTAGGCCTGAGGGACATCCTGAGGTCAGAAAGGGCTGGGGTTCTTGGTTTGGACAGAGCCTTGGAGACGGAGACGGGCTAGGCTTGGGGCGGGGCCTAATTGTGGAAGTGTGGAAGTGCGAGAATGCTTGCTGCTCTCTATTAGTAAGCCTGCGGCGGGAATTAAGACCTTAGAAAACTTCCACCTGTTGCCCTCTTTTCAGGCCAGCTCACATTTCCTGGCCATACGGGGCATTCTCCAACTGCTGGGGGGTTTCCCCCTTCCCTTCTAGTGACCCCAGGCTTCTGTGTCACTTCTGTGTGGCTTCTGCAGTGAGTCTGGAGGAGGCCTAGCTCTCAGGCCCTCTTCTGAAAGCCATTCAAGAACACGTGTTTACTGAGCCCGTACTGAGTGCTATTGGCCGTTCTGGGCACTGGAGAAAATTGGTGCCCATGCCACTCCCCTCAGGAGGCTTATATGTCAGTGACCAGAGAATAAGCAATAAACAAACAATAAAGAGACAAGATTATTATTTTTTTAAAAGATTATTTATTTATTCATGAGAGACAGGCAGAGGGAGAAGCAGGCTCCATGCAGGGAGCTCAACATGGGACTCGATCCCAGGTCTCCAGGATCACACCCTGGGCTGAAGTCGGCGCTAAACCACTGAGCCACCTGGGCTGCCCAAGAGACAAGATTATTAATAAGCATGATAAGTGCAATATAGGAAATGAGATGATGTGATAAAAATGGGGGGGGCGCTTTTTGTTGCCTCTGTAGTCTCTAGAAGAGTCCTCGGCCCCGCATGTTTTATGAAAAATTTCAAACATGCAGCAAAGTTGAAATATTTTTACACAGTGAACACCCATATACCCACCACCTAGATTCTATCATCAACATTTTATTGTGCTTGCTTTATCACATCCCCATCCATCAACCCATCTTGGTTTTTATGGATTTTAGAGTCATTTGCAGACATCAGGACAATTGGTAGGGGGTGGAGGTGTAAACCTAGGAGGTTAAAGGAAAGCCTCTCTGGAAAAATTACCTTTGAATTAAGACTTGAATGAAAAGGAAGAATCGCCAGGGAAGGGGAAATGATGCAAAGACCCCAGGGGCTGGACTGAACTGAGCTGGTGTGTTGGGGGAATAGCAAGGTGTCATGGTTGGAGCTGGGAAACAGGAGTGGAAGGGATGAGGTCAAGAAGTGGGGGAGGAGGGCAATTGGGTGGGTCAGTTGTCAAGCATCTGCCTCCAGCTCAGGTTGTGATCCTGAGTCCTGGGATTGAGTCGGCATCAGGCTCCCCATGGGGAGCCTGCTTCTCCCTCTGCCTATGTCTCTGTCTCTGTCTCTGCCTGTCTCATGAATAAATAAATAAAATCTTATTAAAAAAAAAAAGAGGTGAGTGGGGCCCTCCCTGTTTGGGTTCAGCCACTTTGCTTCCCCACATTTGCGGATCTCCTTTTTTCCACTCCTGTCCATCCCAGGCCCACCCTTTTCCTTCTTTTCCCTTCACCTCTACCCTGCTCTGCCACTTGTTACCTATGTCACCTGAGGCAAATTACTTAACCTCCTCATCTGTAAAATAGAGATGTGATGGGACCTCCTCATCTGGTTCCTGGAAGGAGTAAATGGAATTGTGGGTCAAGCCCTTAGAACCATTCCTGGCACACAGTAACGCTGGATGCGTGTCCGCTTTTGCTGTTGTTATGATTCTCTCTCTATCCTCCCAGCCCAGGACCTCCACACCCCATCAGGGAGCACCAGGAACCAGGTTGGGAGATGGAGATGGTGCCTGGGTGGAGGTGGTGATGGGAGTGGAGTTGTTGGAATCTGGAGATTGAGAGAGGGGGGATGTGAATGTCCCCAGGGGGCATCTAATGGGGGAGTGGGGGTCAAGACTTACTGAAAGGGAGGTTCTGCAGAGGTGCCATTGATCTGAGGGACAGGGCTGGCTTGGAGCAGTAACATAACTAGGAAGAGTTTAGGGAAGGGGTTTGGCAGAGGACGTTGATACGGTGGGATCCAAAATGGGAAGGGTTTGAGTTGCCAGGGAGCTGGGGGACTGCAATAAGGCAGATTTGGAGGGGAGGCCTTGTTGGGTTTGGGGGCCTGATGAATATCTCAGAAAGAGGTGGAGAGTGGGGAGGGACTGGTGGGGTCAGCTAGTGGGTAGGATTTAGGCAAGAACGGAGTCTAACCAAAAAAGGAGCAAGGAATCCTGGGTTGCAAGGAAGGGGGAAGGGTCTACAGGGTCCAAAAGAAAGAGTAGGAACAGGAAGGAGGCAGAGAAAGAATCTGGGGCAAATCAGGGGTTCTGGAAACTAAGGGGTGCCTTAGAGGGGAGGATGGTCTGGGGTCTAATGGGGGTAATGAGGTAAGTTAGGGGGAATAAGACATCTTGGGGTCCTCTAGAAATTAGACATGGTCTGGAGTCCCTGTTGAGGGTCAGGGAATGGTTTGTGGTCCTAGAGAGTGGAAGGGCATGGCTGGGGGTCCCCAAGGAGCCGTAGGATATGGTTTGGGTCCCCAAAGGGAGAGCAAGACATGATCTTGGGATGTTGACGTATGGTTTGGGTCTCCTCTGGAAGTTGGGGCATGGTCTGGGGTCTAGTGGATGTGATGGTATGCTTTAGGGTCCCTGCTGGGGGTGCTCTGGATTCCCCTTGGGTGCTGGGATATGGTCTGGGGTCCCCGCTGGAGTATGGGGCAGAGTCTGAGGTCACCAAGGAGAGCAGGACATGCTTTGTGGTCCTGGGTGGCTGTAGACCATGGTTTGGGTCCTCAGAGGAGGTAAGGTATGGGGTCAGGTTCTCCTGGCTTTGGGGACCTGACCAGGTCTCCGC